GTTCTTGTTGTACATAAACGATATAGTCCACACCAGCACACTCATCAAATACAACTTATTAGCAGACAATAGTAATCTTTATGCCAGCAACTGAAATCTCCATATGTAATATGGAATAAACTGACCTTAAACCTCGAAAAAAAAATCTTTCACAGAAGGAAAAACCTACCCCCAGATTTAGACCCCCTGTACCTTGGTAATACAGTCCTCAAACGTGAAAAAAAATTCCTTGGGGTTAATGCTGATGAGAAACTTAGCTGGAGAAACCATATACAAGCCATTTGCAGTAAAGTCGATAAACAGTGCGGTATCCTGTATCATACTAGTCAGTCACTCACTCTTGCAGCAATGAAAGAAATCTATTATGATCTTGTTTACCAACACCTGATACACTGTCTCTCACTATGGCTCTTCAAAAACACAACCCCTGATTACTGCACAGAAGAGAGTTATGCGGACAATGATCTACTTGAAAAAAAAAATTATCAAACGAACTAACGATTTGCTAAATTGAAAATGTTAAAATTCGAGGATATTAACACATATTGCTGTGCCCTATTTGTTTACAAAACTGTCAATCACTTGACTGACAATAATTATTTCCAGTTCCGGAATAATCAGAGATACAACTTAAGGCACCAAGAGCAACTAAGACCAACCCCCATGCGCTCCTCTCAGTCCCAGACCTCCATAAAATATAATGGTGAGAAGGTGTGGAACAACTTACCCCCACCCATCCGAGCAAAGACTACGCTCCCTTCCATTAAACCATCTCTTAAAAAATATCTATTGTCTAAGTATTAATATTCTTGTAATACCTACTTTATATTCCTGCTCATATTGTATCACCAAAACCATTATATCATACATTGTCATGTAGATAGATAAAAACTATCATTGCAATAACTGTAGTTGCCGAGTAGATATGATACTGACAGCTCTGTCCTCTTGTTCTACCTTAATACAACCCATGTTGTACTGCTTCCCTCCTTTATCATATTTATGTATATCAACACCTCTCTAAAATATGTATATACTACTTATAAATAATGAATCTGAAGACTTCCTAGACGCAGTACAGGACAATTTTTTGAAACAACTAATTACAGAACCTACTAGAGGTGACAATATATTAGACCTAGTATTAACAAATAAAGAAAATATTATCAGAGATATCACAGTAGGGGAAGAACTAGGTAACAGTGATCACAGAGAAATCAGGTTCACCCTAAATTGGGAAACGAAAAACAATGACAATATGGTCAGAGTCCCAAACTTTCGGTTGGCGGATTATCAGGGGTTAAGAAGGTACCTAGGTGAGGTCACCTGGGAACAGTCACGTCAGTCACCAGTAGGAAGGGGTGAGGTCATAGATGACACAACAATTGATCATGACTATAATATATTCACTAGTATACTACATAAAGCACAAGAACAAAATATACCATACAGGAAAATTAGGTCAAATAAGAATGAGCCAAGGTGGATGACCAGAAAACTTAAACATGACATAGGAATAAAGAAAGGAATTTATAAGAAATTGAAGGGAGGGGAGGAGCAGCTCAGAAATAGGTATAATGAACTATCTAGGAATATTAAGAAATATGTAAGGAAAGCAAAGAGAGACTATGAAGTCAAAATAGCAAAAGAATCCAAGGTGAATCCCAAGGGATTTTTCCAGGTATATAGAACAAAAGTCAAGGACAAGGTTGGGCCCTTAAAGTCAGGGAGGGGAGAAGTGATAAATGGCAGTGAATAAATAAGCAAAGCATTGAACAACTACTTCTTATCAGTTTTCACAGAAGAAATTTGCGAGGAAATTCAGGGCGGGCGATATTTAAAAAGGAGAAAGGAAGAAGAAATAAAGAATATCACTGTCGAAAGAGGATGTTCTTGAAGATAAATAAGCTAAAGACCAAAATCCCCAGGGCGAGGATGAGGTACCACAAAGGTCTTGAAGAGTGTGAGGAACAGATTAGCGGACCCCTCGTAAATTTATTTACAAAATCATTAGACACCGGAGTTGTGCCAGACTTGTGGAAACAGGCAAATGTAGTACCCATATTCAAAAAGGGAGACAGAGCATCAGCGTCAAATTACCGGCCGATCAGTTTGACGTCAGTAGTGGGGAAATTTCTTGAATCAATTATAGCAGATAACATCCGATCGCATTTAGAGAAAAGCAAATTAATCTACGACTCTCAACATGGGTTTACAAAGGGAAAATCTTGTCTAAAAATCTGCTGACATTTTTTAGGAAAGTCTTCGAGGTAGTAGATAATGACGAAAATTACGATGTTATTTACTTAGACTTTAGCAAAGCATTTGACAGAGTACCGCATCAGAGGCTTCTGAGAAAAATTAAGGCTCATGGTATCGAGGGGAAAGTTTTAAATTGGATAAAATCATGGCTTACCGATAGAACGCAGAGGGTCAGCGTAGATGGTGTTAAATCTGAGTGGGGTCGTGTAACCAGTGGGGTTCCCCAGGGGTCAGTACTAGGCCCACTCGTGTTCATAATCTACATAAATGATCTAGATACTGGGATCAGCAGTGACATAAGCAAGTTTGCAGATGACACCAAAATGGGGCGCAGATTAATTCAGGGCAGGATGCAAATGCATTACAGGAGGATCTAAATAAACTGCAGGGTGGTCTGAAAAAATGGCAAATGAAATTCAACACCAACAAATTTGGCGTGCTTAATATTGGAAGAATGAAATATTGTCGTGTACACAGCATAACATCTAACCTAGAAGTCTGACTGTGAAAGAGACCTAGGGAGTACTTATGGCGGACCTACGGCCTAGAAAACAGTGCGTTAATGTTCGAAATAAGGCAGAAGCAGAGTATTGGGTTTTATATCTAGAAGTGTAAGTAATAAAATTAGAGGTCTTATTGCAACTATATCTTGCGCTAGTCCTAATTGCACCTCGATTATGCGGTTCAGTTCTGGTGCCCTTATTATAGAATGGATATCAATTCACTAGAGTCGGTGCAGTGAAGAATGACGAAAATGATTCCGGGACTTAGAAACTTTCCATATCAGGATAGGTTAAAGAAACTAAACTTGCATTCCCTAGAAAGACGAAGAGTGCGGGGAGATATGATAGAAGTATTCAAGTGGGTGAAAGGAATCAATAAAGATGATATAGATAAAGTTCTTATAATATCCGAGCAGGATAGGACTCGGAACAACGGATTCAAGTTGGATAAGTTTAGGTTTAGGAGGGAGATAGGAAGGAACTGGTTTACAAATAGGGTGGTGGACGAGTGGAACAAGCTTAGCAACTTTGTAGTAAGTGCTGGAACGCTGGAAAGTTTCAAAGGGAGGATGGATAGATTCATGGATGATAGAGAGTGGTAGTAACTCTCGACAGGAGCTGCCATGCACACTGCACAGGCCAACCGGCCTATTGCAGACTCCTTATTTTCTTATGTTCTTATGTTCTTATGTAACATTCTGATATGTTCTTATTACAACCTGTTACGTGGACTATTTCAGATACTAAATGTTACATAATACTTCCTTGAGATAAAGGTACAGTATATAACGGGTGCCTACAGGAGAGCTCAGGTTCAGCCATGTTAATATTGTTATTATTATCCACTCTGTATCTGTGTTTTTTCTGGTTAAATAAACTGTTTCAATATCACTTAATCACCACAAGAGACTAAAGAATTTGTACTTAAGTTTTACGAGTTGTTCACCACCATCCACACCCCCCATAGAGTAACACCCAGTAACAGCTCATCTTACTGAGAGCTTTGTTGACAGTGAACGAGGTTTTACAGGACCAAGTTTACTGTCTCATGAAGGTGAATATTACTGATGAATTAATACAGAGATATACTGATTGCTAGTATAGCTGAAACGTATACTCAATATATCAACAAGTTCGTGAGGTTTCGTTCAGTCAGGATCGTAATACGTTCCCTGGTCTTGTTGCCCCTTATTGACTTAACCTTTATGATTAAACTTTCATACAATACATATACGTTCAACTGAGACACCAATGTTACACACAATTAAGATGATACGTTCACTAGCGATACTATTTAACAACACTATCGCGACACGTTCACTAGCGATACTATTTAACAACACTATCGCGACACGTTCACTAGAGGCTATCGTATTATATAACACTATTAAGCCACGTTCACCTGAGGCTATCGTATTATATAACACAATTAAGCCACGTTCACCTGAGGCTATCGTATTATATAACACTATCGCAACACGTTCACCTAAGGCTACCGCTACTGCCACTCCAAACGGTCTTTATCGACACACATACTTGACCACGAGATAAAAACCTTCGATTACACAGAGGATGATCCACTTGTGAGCCTCGGGTGATCGACAGGTGAAGTCACATACGCTACCGTGAGTTACTGGGAGGTGAAACTAACTGTAGTGTGTGTGTGTGGGTGTGTGTGTGTGTGTGTGTGTGTGTGTGTGTGTGTGTATGTGCTTGCTATATTAAAAAAAATTATAGCTTAAATTACACACAACATCTTAGGTGTGTAGGAAATAACACACACACACACACACACACACACACACACACACACACCATCAACGTGTTTGTGTTAATTCTCAACCATTGAGAACTACGAAATGGGACAAAATCTTGATAAAATTTAAAAAAAACATTACAAAATAAAATACAAAATAAAACGAAGAATAGGATGGAAGAAAGTTTATAAAGAGTAATGGTAATAAAAGCAGGGAGAATGCACAGTTGCTGATAACTGTATAATGCAAAAAATGAATAAGATGGAACTCCGATACAAATGAATAAGAGATGGAATAAACACGAGATGAAAAACAGAACCGATAATAAAGTTTCCACCTCATACATAATAATACAACACTCTTACTAAATATATTTTGTATGGGTATACCTGTACGTATTTCACACTGTCTAATATAGTTTATTCACTAAAACACACATTCTAAAGTACAGTATATATATATAAGGTACATTATTTACCTTTTAAAGAGAAAACAGCAGCAACACAGACATCCAACTTCATTCATCCAGTGTCTACAGGTTCCCATCTACTTGCAGCAGGAGGTCTTTTAACATTCCTGAAGAACCTCCCATTCCAGTCAGGCCCAAAACCAGCTCGTCCAGTAACCAGTCTGTTTGGTAGTTGGGTTCCGGGAATGGTACTGTCGTGTTCGAGTAATCGGTCAGCGAGTATCTGTTGCGGGTGTTTGCGTGTCCAGGTAACAATTCGTTGGTATTGCTAGTTTAAAAACCAGTTATATGGTATTTGTGTATCCAAGTACCAGTCAGTTAGTCCTCCTAAATTTTAAACATCTAAGTGTCATTTAGCAGAATAATTATACATCAGAATGATTGTTTGACATATAATCGGTGTTCTAATCCTTTACTAAGCATAGCCAGATGTTAGTAGCTCTTATGAAAACTGTTTAGTCTATACCTCATTAACAGTTGTGGTCACTGTTTTGTTTTCCTGAAGGAGCCAATCACTTGTTGCTGAGTTCTTCCTTGCAGCTATAGTTATGGGTGTTTGTTTGTAGCAGTCTGACACTTAGGAACCAGTACCACGGAATGGGTCTTCTTTTTTACCCAGTGTGTCTATTAGTAGTACTATCATGAGCCAGTCTGTCTATTGCTAGTACTACCATGAGTCAGAACGTTGTGTTGAGTACTTTGAAGAGTAATTCAAATACTCTGCAACTTTTTCATGAGCCAGAATTTTGGGCTTCAGTAAATCCAGGAATATATGTTATTGTCGTTATTAAGTCGAGAACTCAAGACTTGGTTATAAAGACTTCATGACACCTGAACTTGCCAGCTACGATCGTTTCCCGACACTGTAAGATGACACAAAAGTCAAATAAAGAGATTCAGCTGTCGATTTTATTCAGAGTTCTTCAGACTGGTCAAGACGAGACAGTTTACTCTCCCTAGGTAAGTGATCTTGAGGCTTCATGAAGACATCAATTAATATCCAATGAGGTAACTTGAAACTGAACAGGATCAGTGTCCGTACCACCCACAGGCAGGCAGGCAGGTCTGGTCGCTGTTGTAGACCCTGCAGTTTTGTATCTCAACAACTGGGTACTTTAAGTCTTCCAGAATAGATAAAAAACTATTAAATTAATAGATGTCAACTAACTTTCAATGACAACTGTGAAAGATAATAACAGGGGATTAAATGCGAAAATTACCTAACCCCTGTGATTATACAGGTGAGGTCCACCGAGCCTTGTGTCATTTCCAAATTAGCTCTGGGTAATTTGGTGGTAATGAGACCTCGCACCTGGGCTACACACAGGTTGTTGCTGCTCCGCTAAATTTCAGGTCGTGACTTGCCGAAACGTTTGACACTGTTATGAGAGAGAACACGGTTAATTTCCATTTGGTCGTGACCACAAGAAAGGGCAAAGTGTGCAGGTACACATGTAATTAAATTCTCTATGGCGGGGCATTAGTTTGTACCGTCACTCGAGAGCCGCTGTTCTGCATGTGAATTAATGACATAAAACTCGTTGTAATTCTAATTTCATCGTCCATCAGACGTCCTGAATCAATTTTCATCAGTCACTGAAGGTCTTCGTGATAAAGTCATGTGATGAAGTGCACAGGTGAGAGACGCTCAACACAGGTGTTGTGCTCGGTAAAGGTCACTAACTGGTGAGGGTTTGGTTTACCTCCGTTAAACAACTCAGATCTTATTTAAACATATCAACTGGTATCTCGTTCTGGTACGAGATGATAATTTCACTTTAATATCTAACATTTAAACAATCTGGACCACGGCTGCACTCCTTCACGATTCCACAAACTCACTTGGGCTTCGGGTGCACCTGTGTACAGAGCGCTTACTGCCACACAACGCCACTGTTATGCTTATCCCAATGCTGCCTAACAATCACTACCGCTTTTCTAAATTCTCCTACGAGACAACACATCAGGTGCACGAGCTCGGTAAGTTTCAAAACAACTCCAAACAACAGTGAACACAGACAGAGGACGGGGCACTAGAGCGGTCCCGGCGGCCAGACGCAAACTGGAGTGGTGATAGCTTGTACCCACGGGGCACACCTCCCATCAACACTGTTTATCTTCTTATCTCCACCTGCTGAGGCCAGTGTGTACACCCACCAGCTGCTAGTTATGTCTAATGCTTCTGCCATGTCATAAATAAGGTCTTTAGCAGTAATTAAGTTAAAATAATATTAATAATATATTAATAATATAGAGACCTAATTAAAGGGGTTACGTCAGCGTGATAAACAGTTGAACTGTCAGCATCCGGTGGGGTGTAGTGAACCAAGTCAAGACACATTCCTCAACACAAACTTGACCTTTTTAAAATGTTTGTAGGCAAGTTGTTCACCCGGTCATGTGGGGCAGACGGTTGTATGTCGTATCTGTTTTAGCACCACAGTTCTATAGTTGACCTTGACACGTCCATAGACGTCCTTCTTTGAGGACGTCAGGTCAGGACAAGTAATAAAACTAATCCCTATAATCAAAACTAAGCTGTTAGTTCAGGTTAAAATCTAAAGGTCAGGTCAAACTTAAATCAAACTTGAATGTGTTTGTGAACTTAAAGGCGTGTTAAACATATCCAGTTGTCCTGTACTGTCCTGTCCAGTCCTGTCCTGTACTGGGGGAGTTAATATGTCCTCAATACTCAAGGTTTGCTGTACTGTTTAAACTCAAGAGATTCAGTGATGGCATGATGCCGAGTTGTAGGGCGAAAGATACATTATGTAGACACACACACACACACACACTACATCCTTGACCACCGAAGGGTCAAGACGTACCTGGCGCTCCTCTCGGAGCAGCCAGGTCAACTGTTAAGTTGGCCCATACCAACCCCCTCCCCTGAACCCTCCTCCCCACCGGAATATCAACAAGTTCTCGCCAGAAGTTACAATTTCATTTAGGAAAGGAACGGAACCAGTGTTAAACAGAGGTGAACAGTGGTGAACAGTGCTTAAGTCAGTGAGAACAACTCAACAGTAACAGTCGCACCCAAGTTAACCTTCACACAGTGAGGTCCCAGGTACCCAATGATAACGGCCCCCGCGAGACCCAACAACAACCACCGATGTGTTAATCCGTCTACGATAGGAAGGCCTGGGACCAAACCTCACTCATATAACACCATCTGTGAGGGAATTACTACACCACATGTCCCTCATAACACCATATGTGAGGGAATTACTACACCACGTCAAGTCCCTCATCACACCATCTGTGAGGGAATTACTACACCACGTGAGGTCCCTCATAACACCATCTGTGAGGGAATTACTACACCACGTCAGGCCCCTCATAACACCATCTGTGAGGGAATTACTACACCACGTGATGCCCCTCATAACACCATCTGTGAGGGATTACTACACCACGTGAGGCCCCTCATAACACCATCTGTGAGGTAATTACTACCACGTGAGGTCCCTCATAACACCATCTGTGAAGGGATCTACACCACGCTGGGTCCTCATAACACCATCTGGGGAACTACACTACACCACGTGAGTTCCTCCTAACACCATCTGGGAGGAGTTACTACACTACGAGTTTGCTGTTCAACACCTACATTAATCTGTATGTTCACTGTATGTTCCTTTACCTTTCTCTAATGAAGGCTTTTGTTAAACCACCAATGTATGTAATAAGTCATTTATGTCCAATGTATATTTTCAGCCTTCGGGCTGCAGAACTTTTTCAATAAACCGTTAATTATTATTATTATTATTATTATTATTATTACACACACACACACGTGTGTGTCTGTGTAAATTTAATCATATCATTTTATTTTATTTTTTTCACAACTTGACAATTACCATCACCACAAGAACACAAACACGTGTCTCTTAAGCATGTAACTACTGTGGCAAAGATGCGACATTAATCCTTCATATAGTATATAGGAGATTATATACCCAGAGCTTGACGGACAAACGAACGGACGGGCGAGTGTGTGGATGAGGTTTCAGAATACAGCATATCCTCTGCTCCACCGGCGACATACTGTAAGGGAGGCTCAAAAAAATTCCTTTGTCTTTGTGTTTTTTCTTTCCTAAATATGACAATGTAAAAAAAAAAAAAAAAAAAGCATATTACTCAATTTCCTTTCATTGTCAAGCATAATCTAAGGTGGATTACGTTACAGTCGAGATACAGAGGTAACACAGGAAGAACAAGGGGTTACAGTAGAGAGATAACACAGGAGGATCAAGGGGTTACAGTAGAGAGATAACACAGGAGTAACAAAGGGGTTACAGTAGAGAGATAACACAGGAGGAACAAGGGGTTACAGTAGAGAGATAACACAGGAGTAACAAGGGGTTACAGTAGAGAGATAACACAGGAGTAACAAGGGGTAACAGTAGAGAGATAACACAGGAGGAACAAAGGGGTTACAGCAGAGAGATAACACAGAAGTAACAAAGGGGTTACAGTAGAGAGATAACACAGGAGTAACAAAGGGGTTACAGTAGAGAGATAACACAGGAGTAACAAATGGGTTACAGTAGAGAGATAACACAGGAGGAACAAAGGGGGTTACAGTAGAGAGATAACACAGGAGGAACAAAGGGTTACAGTAGAGAGATAACACAGGAGGAACAAGGGGTTACAGTAGAGATAACACAGGAGTAACAAAGGGGTTACAGTAGAGAGATAACACAGGAGGAACAAAGGGTTACAGTAGAGAGATAACACAGGAGGAACAAGGGGTTACAGTAGAGATAACACAGGAGTAACAAAGGGGTTACAGTAGAGAGATAACACAGGAGTAACAAGGGGTAACAGTAGAGAGATAACACAGGAGGAACAAAGCGCTACAGTAGTATTGTGTAAGAGACCTATTTAACACAGTCTACGGTGCTGCTAAAGATCATTTCGTCTGTTTCTTACACGTTGAGACGAATTTCAGAATGTTTCGTGTTATTGAAAGTGACGTTGTTGTTGTTTGTTTACCTCACCTGTCTACTCACCTTTACCTTGTTATTCCACACAAAAAAACAAGTCAAACCAACGTAAATACCTGTAATATACGTGTAACATACGATCTATCTGTCTGTCTGTCTGTCTGTCTGTCTGTCTCTTATATTACTTTGATAGGAATAATTACCTTCCAGAAACTCAAAAGGAAACAATTATTATATAAATTATTGGTAGTTAGGACGTCACGCTCGGATTATTACACTGCCTTGGTAGGAAATCCGGATTATCTACTGACGAACGCTACACAGCACGCTAACCTTGTTTCTCGTTCTTTCAGGATCCTTTATGAAGAGGTGAGGTAAGGTAAGGTAAGGGTAAGGTAAGGTAAGGTAAGGTGAGGTGAGGTAAGGTAAGATAAGGTAAGGTAAGGTAAGGTAAGGTAAGGTTAGGTTAGACTAAAGATATCTCTGTACACCCAACCCACACCCAACTCACACCCAACCCACACCCAACTCCCATCACTTATCCAATCTGCACCTAAAACACTCCCAGCGAGATCAAGTCAATGATTAACTTGGTATAATTTATTCCACTGATCCACAATTCTTTATTTCCTAATCAACGTCGATTTATTCTACATTCTAATTCCAAATCATCCATCTAATTGAAAACCATCGCTATAAGTGTTTTGTTCTTGTTGTTTGACAGTTGAAGCCGTACCTTAATTTATATCACGTTTATATAACCCTGACGTGACTTAGTACACATGACATGTAAAGACTGACTGACTGACTGACTGACTGAATGGCGAAAATAGAACTTAATAGCGGAGAAACTGAACTGACTGACTGACTGACTGACTGACTGCTGAAAATGGAACTCGTTAACGTAGAACAGGTGACGTTATATATGAGTCTACTAAGAAAACCTAAAAAAATAAACTAACGTATCAGTAGGTAGTATGCAGCGACCTGGGAAGATATTGGAAGCATAATGTATTGTCTAATGGTAGACCCTGCTGCCATATGGCATCACGAAAATTGTGACCAAGTCCCAGGTTGCTGATCTGACTTTCTGCCTCATTTCCACACAATTGCAGGGTCTCAAATGTTTCTCTTACTATTGACAACACAACATACATACAGTATATCGTTTCTCACTCCTGATTTTTTTTATGGTTATTATCATTATTATTATTTTATTTTTATTATAATTTGTATTAATTATTATTATTATTATTATTATTATTTTTATTATTATTATATTATTATTATTATTATTATTATTATTATTATTATTATTATTATTATTATTATATTTTCGCCCCCCAGGCCCTGATGTGGGTCAGTGACCTGTGCCCGGGTGGGCTAATCCCAGTAAAAAAAAAGTATAACGGAAACAAAAAAATCACGTAACGGTAAAGTGAAGTAAAACAACAGAAGCAATGTTAATGTGAAGTAAAAACAGGTCCAACGGTATACTGAAGTAAAAAAAAAACAGAAGCAACGGTATAATAAAGTAAAAACAGAAGCAATGGTTTCATGAGTTTAAAACAGATGCAACGGTAGAATAAAAAGGCAACAGAATAATGAAGTAAAAACCAGAAGCAACGGAATAGTGAAGTAAAGAACAGAAATAACAGTATGAAGCTAAAACAGAAACAACGGTATAATGACGCCAAAACAAGCAACAGTACAGTGAAGTAAACAAAGCTGCAGCACAACAGATGTAATGAATCTTAACCCTTTTGACCGTACGGATATAATGAAGCCAAACTTATGACGCAGCAGATATAATGAGGCCAAAAACTGTGACGCAGACTACCTTAAACACGATGGGTCCTGCGTCAGCCCGGTGCGTGAGCCCAGGTCAACTAACACACCGGATACATTTGATGAGAGCATCGTCGTGGTCAGACCTTGGGTAGTCGAGAGATACTGTGTCTTTCCAGGGGCTCTCAGGTTCTGGGAGGACGCCGCTGAGACGGTCGAGGGTGAGGGTGAAGCTAAGGTTTCCAGTGATGCCGAGGTTGTCAGGAAGTACCGAGATGATGAGAAGTTTGACTCGGTACCTGAGCTCGGTCCACTTCCCAGATTGAATCGTTT